CATCCCAGCCGAAAAAAAGGACATCTGCCTACCTAGGTTGAAGGGAGAAGCCTAAGCCTTCCATCACCATGGGTGTTCTCTCTCCAGCCCACAGCACAGGGTGGACATGGACGGTGGTGGTGGTGGTGGTGGAAGAGCAGCAGGAAGAAGCACAGGCAGATGGAAGGCTGGTCCCGTGGCCTTCAGAACTGAAAGACTGTCCAGATGAAAGGCTGCGCATTCGCCGCAGAGATACCCGGCTTGTCAAGAAGTGGCCAGCCTCACCCTCTACCAACCTCTGAGATCCTAGGCCATGCTGTGGTTCCGTCAGGCGCTGCCGGACACTGCTCTGCAGGCTGGGGGCTGCAAGGAGAGTGAAGAGAGTGTGAGGAAGGGCAGGATTCAGGCTGGCAGGCAAGCAGGTTGCCCACGGAGAAATGCCTGCTGGAGACCACTCTGGGCCTTTGATGCCCAGTCTGGAGAATGGGGCACCTCCTCCCAGAAACCTCCCACCAGGGATCCTGAAAGGAAGGGGAAATTGAAGATGAGGTGCTCAGGTCAGTTTTAGTGGCAATTCCAATAGAAGGAGACCTAAGATCAATGTCACTATAAAGGGAGGTGGCAAGGCAGTTAGTAGGAAGACACAGGCAGGGGAGGAGAGGATAGGGGTTTGGGGCAGGGTCCAGGAGAGCACTAAGAACCAGCCTTTTCAGAAAGCCAACCTCAGGAACTAATTCAGAACTTAGACATGGATTTATATACAAACATGTTTATCACATCATTAATAATAATATGAAAACAAACATAAAGGTGGGACAATGAAAGAATAATAGCCAGTTGCTGGAAGATTAGAGAGCTATTAAAAATGATGCTTTTGAAAAGATTTTAAGAACATAGAAAAATGTCTATTAAAATGTCAAGTGAAAAAAAATCACACAGGATATAAAATCATACATAATAGAAATACCTTGATCTTTGAAATACAAGAGCCTAGATCTTGAAAACAGGCCTTTCCACTTTCTAGTTGTGTGACTTAAGCAACTTACTTCTACATTCTGAGCCTGTTTCTGAATTAATAAAGTCCTGCAGGGTTGTTTTAAGGGTTCTACATAGTGTATTTAATGAATTTGACCCAGTTCCTGGCACTTAATAAACAGTAGTGGTTATTATTATCTTTTTTTTTTTTTTTTTTTAGGATTTGGGTGAAGATTTACAGAGTAAATTCACTTTTCATACAGCAGTTCACATATACTTTGTCTCATGTCATTGACCAAAATTTACAATGCAGCAGCTCCCCTCCCACTTCCTCCCCATAGTTACCTCCTCCAAGTGTCCATCCCTTCATACTCTTCTGCACCCTGAGCTATCTCCCTGTGCATAAGCAGCCCTTCCTTCTCCCGTGATTGTTCTCTCCAGGGAGTGTGTCTACTTGAGGTAAATGTTTAACTCACATGCCTGTACTTTGTTTGGCTGGAAACCACAGTTGTGGGTTCAATTCCAGACCTGAAGGGCAGCTAGGGTCCATAGTCTCAGTGGTTACACCAGGCTCTATTGGACCAGCAAACCTGGTCCCCACCTTCTTTTTTTTTTTTTTTGCCTCCAAATGATTTTGAGTTTTGTTCCACATTGTTCTCCCTCTCTATGCAGGATCTCCTACATCCCTTCCAAGTGGATGGCAGTGGTAGCTAGCACCATCTAGTTCTTCTGTGGTTATTATTATCTTGACCACATAAAAAATATTTTCACAGAAAAAAAGACTGAAAGGGAAGGTGCTCAAATATGGCAGAATGGATGTCTTTCTTCTGCTTATATTCACCCTTATTTACTTTCCAAATTTTCCCCAATAAGCATGTAAATAAAGAACCAGCTCTTAGATCGATGCTGTAAATCAGACTCTTAGGAGTTGAAGGCCACATGCCCTGTGAAGGCGAACATGGGCACCAGGTAATTCAGGAATGTGATAGAGCTCATCCCCAAGGAGATCCCTTGGGCTCACTCACCTCCAGCTTCAAAGGGAACTGACTTTTAGTCTTTCTCTTCTACTCTGATAGATGGGCCACCCTGCTTTCTGTCCAAAAGTGGGAGAAAGGGCCAGATTACAAGGGTGGCAGAAGGCTTGAAAGGGCCATCAGAGAGAGAGCACAATTCCATGGTGATGGAGAGTTGGGGAGGCAGAGCTTCTATGGCTGGTGGCTTTCAAGGCATGAAAAGGAGGCTGAAGGGTGAGAGAAAGCATGGAAAAGGTAGGGGAAGGAGAAAGAAGTGGAAAGCAGGGAGGGAAGGAGAGAAACATGAAAAAGAGAAAAGAGGAGGGTGATCTTTCCTTCCTTCTTTCCATCCCAGCCGAAAAAAAGGACATCTGCCTACCTAGGTTGAAGGGAGAAGCCTAAGCCTTCCATCACCATGGGTGTTCTCTCTCCAGCCCACAGCTGAGCGGGCTGATTCTTCTCACCCCCGAACCCCTCCCTGTAGTTAGTAGGGGCAGTGCTAAAGGAATAGAGGGAGCAGGCACAGGTGTGAGACAGGCAGCAAAAGGGGCCCGTGGGCTAGAAGTGTTGGTTTAGTCCCCAAAATTGGTAAAACAAAAGCCCCAAAGGGGCTTCTCAAACCCGGGTATTTCCAGAGGGACTGATCATCCGAGCCGGCGGATGCAGAGCAGAGAGAACGGTCACTCAACCTACGCCCCATCAGCCAGGCAGCATCTAGGGTCCAACAGCCAGGCCAAAAGGAGAAGAGAATCTGATTTACAGAGGGCTTCAGCCTGCTCATCAATGGGGTAAGAGAAGTCTAGAGGGCAAGGGATGGGTAGTTCAGAGCTAATGAAGATCCCTCCCAACCTGGAGAAAGTAAGAACCTTTAGGTCAGCAAGTCAGGATTCACTGTCCGTCACTGATCCTAACCTTGTTAGGCCGTTTAGCTAAGAGTCTGATCAGTGAAACCAAGAGGTTTGGCCAAGGACAATGATTCATTGAGGAAACTTACAAATAAAGTCTGTCTGAATTCTGTCTGGAGCAGGAATCTGGCACTCTGGAAGGGGCCCCTAGCCCAACCCCAGCTTTCTGTCATCCCCTGCACTGGTGGGATAAGGGCCTGCAACAACAGATTTTCCTTAAAAGCCTGTTCTATTTCCTTAAAAACCCTGAATCTAAAGAAAAAATTAACCATGAGTCAGTAAGGGAAAAGTCCCTACATTCCCATGAGTGTTGTCCCTTTTAGCACTGCTCTACTCAGCCCTCACCACCCACAGGGGAGAAGAAAGGGAAGACCCAGGACAGAGGTGGGGAGGTCCAAGAGTTTGGGTAGGAAGCCAGGCATGCTTGTACAGGAGATCCCTCCTGGGTAAGAATGCCTCTCTGGCTTCTGTATCACTTTAAGGGATTATGTATTTCATGGGGCCTCATACAAAAGCACAGAGAGAAAGAGAGACACCATTCTATTCATCTTGTTTAGCAATTAGGAATAAGGAGCATAAAATAAAAACAAATAAATGCCATAAATAATCAAAATGAATGCCATATTTACATTATGAACCACTAAATGAAATTATTTTTACAAAGCTAGACAGGAGTAAAAGGAGGGTAAAGAGATAAAGAAAAACAAAGAGTGAAGGGAGACATATATAACACAATAGACCCAGAGGGGCAGACAGAGCATATGGCAAGGAAAAATCACCAGAAAGGCAGTTATGAAGAAATATCCTGATACAATTGTGCTTTATTAACCAAGGCCATGAGTTGTACTCTTGTCCTTGGTATCTGCCCCATGTACTCTTTAACCGTAGCAGAGGCCAAGGACTTAGCAACCTGTGTATCCCTCACCCCCACCCAAGAGGTCACCTACACTGCATGGACAAGGGTGACACAATCTCTTCATCCATATCATCCACGTCATCAGTCATAATGAAGTGGGCAGGGTTGGGGCGGGTGCTGCCCATCCAGCTGGGGTCTATGTTGAGGGCAGCCACCAGCGAGTGGATGCCAGGGTTATTGACAATCTGGAAGCCACAGAGGATCTCAATCTGTTGCCAGCGGTGCAGTCGCTCCCGCAATGCTGCCGTCACCTCACTCAATGCTTGCCTGAAGACAAATGAAAGAATTGTAGGCATGGGTAAGTGTGAGAAATAAGGTGTCTTCTCACAGGAGTAAGTTGGGAAGATATTTAAAATGATAAAACCATGAACTTAAGAACAAGGTGGATGTTGGACCGGAACTGGGGCATGAGAACAGAGCTGTCTTTCCAACAGTGAAGGAGTAGAGCTGGGATTGGAAACCCTGTAGACTCTCAAAGCCCTGACTGAGGATGGTACGGGTATTGCCAGGGCTGGGAAACTGGGGCTACTTACTTAGCAGTTAGGATTTTGTGATCCACATCATCCAGGGAAGAGCTGTGGGCCACGTGGAAGGTGCCAAAAAGCGTGTTCCTCTTCTTTTTTATCTTCTCAGCCTGCAAAGATGAGGCCCCCCAGAGTAAAGAGAGCAGGAATTAGAGGTTGGAAGAAATGAGAAAAGCCTTCCTGTGACTGGGTTCCCCTCTTCCTAGCACAGTTTAGTTTATATGAGGAAAAGGAAGAGAGGGAGGCAGGAAAGGGGAAAAGGCAGGCAAGGGGAAGGAAAAGGAAGAGGTGAAAAAGAAAGGCAATAGAGGGAACAAAAGAAGCAGCAAAGGAGTCTCCTGACAATATCCCAGCCCCAGGAGACTCGCTGTCCCTGTGGCAGTCTGGCGCTGGTAGTCTACAGAGCCTTTCCCCTACCGTCCTCCACTGGCCTTATCTTTCTCAGAAGGCAGTTGGAAGTATCCTCACACCCCTATTCCCTCCTCCAGAAGCTTGAGGACATTATCAGGAGCTGTACATTTAGGAAAAGAAACAGAGCCCAGCACCAGAGGATCTCTTGTCCTGATAATACCAAAATGTTTGAGGTCCCCAATGGGAAGAACAGCGAGAGGCAGAAAGGCTAAGGGAAGGTAAAAGGGAAGAGAGCAATGAAGAGCAAGGAGGGAAGAAGAGAGAAGGTGTCAGCAGGGCAGGTCTCACCCCCTCCTTGGCCACCAGGAGCTGCTTCTCGGCATTTTGCTTCTTAATGTTGTAGTACTGCACCTCCACCTCGTGTGTCAGCTGCAGCCACTTCTGGAGGGCTTCGGGAGCGTACCATGAGCTGTGAGACTCCAGCTCCTTCTCCGCCTTCCTCAAGGCCTCCCGAACCTGTACAGCCAAGAGGATGTGAGTCTACTTTCTACCACTATGACTTCCCCAACACTTCTGTGTGATGCTTCAGAATTCAGAGTTCTCATCTGCCATCTTATGTGAGCTTTACAACTCTCCCAGGAGGGAGAAACTGCAAGAATTATTCTCTGTATTTTATATATAAGAAAACAAGCTGAGAGAATGCAAGTAACCTAACCCAAAGTCACACAGTCAGTAGTATCAACCAGAACTCAAATTGAGATCTTGTTGCTCCCAGATGACGGCTCTTTTTCTCATCACATCCGTTGACTCTCCTTGTCATATAACCAAGTTCAGCAGTCTTCCCTGCTCTCTTGAGGCACAGGCCAGCTCAGTGAATCTTCTTTCTGAGAGTTGGGGTCTGATGCTTCCATCTCAAGATATCACAATGTGGCAGAAAATAATTTGGTTGGGAGTCTGAAAAATTGGTTATGATCACTGGCTTATCACTCAACTGGCTATATGACCCTGTGCTTCCTATAGTAGATCTCAAATGAGTGTGAGGAAGGAATTTCTCCCATAAAAATGCAAACCATAAGTGAAGAGGTTATCTCAGGATAGAGTGCACTCCCCTTCATGTGAGGTATATGAAGAGCTCATGTCAGAGAAACCTCAAAAATGGTTGCTACTAACATGGGTATATGGGTGGATAGATGGGTGGACAGGCTGAACTATTAGGTATGTCTATGTGTACCCAAGACCATGTATAGGGTTGGTAGACAATGTTTCCACAAGTGTATTTTTATCTTCTGTAAGAATTCCCAGGTGTAGAGTATAGCTGACAAGGGACAAGATTGTAGTCACTTCTTGGGCACAGCCAGCTACCCAGAGGGAGCAAGTAATTGAACCTGTGGGCTCAGGACCATAGTTGCAGGAGACATAAAGCTCAACTGGCATAACATACTACATAAAACATTGTTCTACCTCCTACTTTGGTGAGTAGTGACTGGGATCTTAAGAACTTGCAAGCAGCCATGTAGATGCAACAATGGGTCTCTCCTTGTCCAGAGCAAAGAATAAAGAAGAAAATCAAAGATTCATGGAAGCAATTAGTCCACGTGAATGGTATACCATGCAATCCTCAGCCTATCCGACTATGAGATCAGAAGAACTAGATGGTACCCGGCTACCACCATCAACCACTCGGAAGGGGATCTATGTAGGAGATCCTGGATAGAGTGGGAGAACAATGTGTAACAAAACTCAAAAACATTTAAACAAACAAACAAAAAAGGGACCAGGTTTGCTGGTCTAATAGAGCTTGGTGGAACCACTGAGACTATGGCCCCTAGCTGCCCTTCAGGTCTGGAATTGAACCCACTCCTGTGACTTCTAGCCAAACAAAAGACAGGCATATGAGGTAAGTAGGTAGACATACTCCTTGGAGAGAACAGTTATGGGAGAATAGAAGGACTGTGTATGCACAGGGAGACAGCTTAGGGGGCAGGGGTGCAGGGAGGGATGGACACAGGGAAGAAGTAACTATGGAGAGGAAGTGGGAGGGGAGCTGTTGCATTGTGGTAAATTGTAGTCAATGTCATGAGACAAAGTGTATGTGAACTGCTGTATGGAAAGTGAATTTGCTCTGTAAACTTTCACCCAAATCACAATTAAAAAAAAAAAAAGACTGCTACTCCAGAGGGGATTGGCCTGAATGCTCTCCAAAGTCTCCCTTTGTCCTATAATTCTCTCATTGAGCATGACAGGTAGACTTTGAAGGGCACTCTCTAGCAAGGTGGGAAGACATTAAGCATGTGCACATTTAACATGGGCATTGACCACAGAGGTATGAAAAGACCAAAGCAGAAATCTCCTCATTGACTTCTCTACAAGAAGCACCCAACAAGGGGTCAGGAATGCATAGGAAAGAAGAACACAGGGAAGAGGTAACCACAGGAAGGAAGTGGGAAGAAAGCTGTTAGATTGTGGGGAATTACAGTCAATGTCATGAAACAAAATGGGTATGAACTGCTGTATGGAAAATGAATTTGTTATGTAAACCCAAATCACAATTAAAAAAAATACGCAATGAAGCAGTCACAAAGCATTTAGTATGAGAGATCTGACAGTATACAAAAATAGACTGGATTGCTTGCTATCTCACCTTCATTACCAGGATACTCACTGCCATTGCGTCAACTCTGACTCACAGCAACCCCCATTGGGTTTCCAAGGCAGTAAATCTTTACGGAAGTAGACTGCCTAGTCTTGCTTCCATGGAGTGGCTGGTGGGTTTGAACCAGCAACCTTCTGGTTAGCAGTCAGATGCCTTAGGCACTGTGCTACCAGAGCTCCTTCATTACCAGGATAATGACCCCTAACTCCCCAGTCTGGACATTGACCTTCTTAGCTAGTCAGGACCCCAGAGAATAGGGATTGACAGCAGTATTCTTATCCCCAACTTCAGCCAAAGAAGCAGGTATCCCACAGCAAGCCTGAGGTTCTCTCTATAGCCTAAGACAAATCAGATGGGCTAGCTAAGAACAGAACACCTCTATTTCTCAGAAAGCCAAAGAGAAGGCAAATCTTCACTGGGTTTTTATTTCTTGAAAAAGAACTATAAATTGGCCCACTCCTGGCTGTCAGGATTTAAAATGAAGAACAGATACCTTAAAAACTAATATACCAAGTCTGAGCATTTATGATCAAGTTCTATATTAAAGGCAGTTAAAGGAAAGGGATAAGCTAAGAAGGGGAGAATGGACAGAGAGAAAAGAGGAAAAAAGGGAGTATACAGAGGGAAGCTTGACTGTGGGGGAGGCACACAAAGGGACCGGTCTAAAACTAAAAAAAAATTATTAATAAGAAAAATAATTACAAAACGGGGAGATGGGAGGCAGGGTGACAAAGACAGACATATCTTTCCACATACACATAAGGGAAATCTGAAGGAAAACAGCAGATACAGGCCGAGGCAAGTCAAGTCAGAGTGAGCTAGTCAATCCTTTCATCTGGAATTCCTGGGTGGTGCAAACAGTTAACCCACGGGGCTGCTAAGAAAATGGTTAGACATTTGAGTCCACGCAGAGGCACCTTGGAGAAAGGCTTGGCAATCTACTTTAGAAAAATTAGCCACTGAAAACCTGATGGAGCACAGTTCTACTGTGACACACATGAAGTCACCATGAGTCAGAATCAAGTCAATGGATTTTTATTCTTTACTCTATGGTTGTAGTTCTCAACCTTGTCACATACTAGAATCACCTGGGGAATGTTAAAGATACTGATGTCTGATCCCAATGCAGGGATTCTAATTTCATTGGTATGTGGTGCTATCATGGGCCTCAAAAATTTTTAAAAGCTCTCCAAGTGATTCCAATATGCAGCAAAGTTAAGAGCCACTGATTTATGTGTTTTTAAGTATTATCACCTGGCTTCCACTTCCCAGAAGGATCCAGTAGGTCACCACAGAAGAACAATTATGTTCAGATACAAAAACTGGAAAAAGCTATACAAATTATGAAAACAGTACTTTCAAAGTCATCAGAGAGCTGTAAAAGGAACAAAGACTAGGTCTGAGGTTCTCTTAAGTATGATCCAGGGACAGCCCCAACTCCTGGCTTCCCTAAGACCCAAGAGCATCTGTGAGGTCAAAACTATTTTCATTATAAAATACTGTTTAAAGGACTTACAGAAGACTTAAATAGAAAAGGACCTCTAGTGGAGTAGCAGATAAGGCATCTGGCTGCTAACCAGTAAGGAGACAGCGGTTCAAACCCACCAGCTGCTCCATGGAAGGAAGATGGGGCAATCTACTTCTGTAAAGATTTATAAGCCTTGGAAACCCACTGGAGTTCACTATGAGTTGGAATCACCTTGATGGCAGTGAGTTTGGTTGGGTTTTTGAATAAACAGGAAGATGTTCTGTGTTTGTGGATTGGAAGACTCAATATTATTAAGATGTCAATATTATCCATTAACAATCTGTAGATTCAACGCAATCCTGATCAAAATTCCAACAGTTTTCATTACAGAAATGGAAAAACCAATCTTCAACTTTGTATGTCAGGGCAAGAGGCCCTGAATAGCTAAAGCAAGGTTGAAAAAGAAGAACAAAGTAGCAGATTCATACTTCCTGATTTTAAAACATATTATACAGCTACAGTAATCAAAACGGCCTAGTACTGGCATAACAAAAGCTATATAGACCAATGGGATAGAATTGAGAGTCCAGAAATGGGACTACATATCTATGGTCAACTGATTTTTTTTACAAGAGTGCTAAATCCATTCAATGGGAAAAGAAGAGTCTCTTCAACAATTGATGCTGGGAAAATTGGATTTCCACATGTGAAAAATAAAACCAGATCCATGCCTCACACCATACACAAACACAAATTCAAAATGGATTAAGGATCTAAATGTACAAACTTAAACCTAAACATACTTAGAAGAAAATGCAGGGGAAATCCTGTTGGGCCTAGCTTCAATCAATGTTGTTATTGTTGTTATGTGCCGTCAAGTCAAACTCGACTCACAGCGACCCCTCCTTGGGTTTCCGAGGCAGTATCACTACGGAAGTAGGATTGCCCAACCTTCCTTCCGAGGAGTAGCTGGTGGGTTTGAACCGCCAGCTGTCTGGTTAGCAGGCAAGTGTCTTAGCCACTATGCTACCAGAGCTCCCACTTCAATCAATAGATTATCTAATCACAAAGCACAAATAGCAAAAGACAAAATTAATAAACAGGCCTCATAAAAATGAGACACTTTTTATTCATCAAAAGGCTTTACCAAACAAGTGAAAAAACAAGCTGCTGACTGGAAAAATATTTTCAGAAATCATATGTCTGATAAGAATCTAATAATCAGAATATATATGAAACTTAACAGTTTAACAATAAAAAGACAAATAACCCAATCATAAGATGAAAAGGACTTGAATAAACATTTTGCCAAAAAGGACATTCAAATGGCCACCAAATACCAAACATGAAAAATGCTCAGTGTCATTAGCTACTATGAGAGGTGCAAATCAAAAC